AGACCAGCTCCTGCAGGGGCAGGGTCTGGGCTAAGTGCTGTTCCAGGGGCCAGTGATAAAGCGCTTGGGTAAAAGGGACTTTTCTTGATTCTCCAGGTCAGTGTCTTTTCACTGGAGGAGAAGGAAGCTCTCTAGTGTGCCTTTAATCATCTACTTAAACAAACATTGCATCTCTGTTGTGTGACAGGGGCTTGCAGACACACAGGACAGCCTCAAAGCGTAAAGTGAAGCTATGTTCCTGCTACAAGAACAGTGACTATGAAACTCCCCCTGCTCCTGCTGCTCCTCCTGCTGGGGACAGTTGCTGCTTTTCATCTGGGTAAGTCCTCCCTTCCCTTCTCATCCAGCTTGACCCCTTCTCCTCTTTCTGGCACCTCTTGGGCTCTCTCTGGGCCAGGGCCACAGCTTTTCCTTCTTCCGTGGGCCCAGCTCCCCTCAGGTAAGATCTCTCTAGGACTCAAAAATGTGACCTGAATATTTTGTCAGGGCTCCGACTCAAGCAAAACCCACCCACCATTTTTTTAAAAATACATTTTATTGATTTTTTACAAAGAGGAAGGGAGAGGGATAGAGAGTTAGAAACATTGATGAGAGAGAAACACTGAGCAGTTGACTCCTGCACACTCCCCACATGGTATGTCCGAAACCAAGGTACATGCCCTTGACCAGAATTAAACCTGGGACCCTTGAGTCCACAGGCCAACCCTCTATCCACTGAGCCAAACCAGTTAGGGCAACCCACCCACCTTTTCAGAGCAGCTTCTTCTTACCCCTAAAATACACACCTGTCAGCCAGCACCATGTGCTCACCCCTTTGTGTGAGTTCTCACCTCACCCCACAGGGAGGAGATCCTTCTGGCCTAGGCTCCTGAAGGACGCACCAGGAAGTCTTGAGTGGGGAGGTCAGCGCTGTCCGTGGTCCTGGAAGAAGGAGCTCCTGACCTGATGGCAGGATACCTCTTCCTCCAGGGAATGATGCCCCCTATCTGGACAGCCAAGAGCCACAGGCAGACCTGAGCCAGGATCTGGAAGGCTCAGGGGAGCAGGAGGGAGAGTTGGTCCTGACTGAAGAGGCCATTCAGTCCCAAGGAGAGCAGGTGGAGGCTTCCAGCTGCCAAGATGCCTTTGAGGACGAGAAGGCCATGGAATCGGACCCAGGTGCCCTAGATGAGAACTTTCAGTGCCCCAGGGAAGAGGACACAGTGACAATTCTGGTCAGTGCTGGGAACAAGAATTGACGCTACCGGTTGGTGAAGACTCGCAAAACATTTGCAGATGCTCGGGTAAGTGGCATGGGGCTACTGTGGAAGGAGGACCAGGGGCAGGAGCAGAGAGTGGGTTCCCTCTCCTGTTCACTATTCATTTACACTAGTGGTTGTCAAAGGCTAGAGAGCAGCAGACTCTGCTAGACGTCTTGTTGAAGAATAGATTTCAGGGTTAGCAAGTCTGGGGTGGGGCCCAAGAGTTTGCATTTAGGACCACGTGCCAGATGATGATGATATCGTAGGTCTGGAGACAGTATGTTGAGAATCACTGATTGGGACAAAAGGCTTTGGTATTAGATATACCTGTGTTAAACCCTGGCTCCACCTGTGATTGTCATGTTACCTGGGCAAGTCACTTCACCCTTCAGAGCTTCAGGATCTTCACTTGTACAATGGAGATATATAGTACCAACCTCTTATGTTGTGGTGAGGATTAAATGAGGTAATACATGGAAAGCATTTGCATCAGTCCTTGAGTCATTGTAAACTGCCAGTAAATGGTGGCTGAGATTATTCTCAGGATTATTATTATTTCCTGCAAGAAGTTCCCGTTGACAGATAAAGGGGCAAGAGATGGAATTGAAGGAGCAAGTAGATCTCTGATTTCTGACCTGACCAAGGATGGAGAACTCTCTCCTGGAGACTCAGTAATATGAGGGGGGAAAAACCCAGGGAACAACTCTTTTTTCTTCACCACCTCTTTTTTCTGCAGAACACCTGCAGGAATTGCTACCGTGGCACCCTGGCCTCTATCCACAACAAGCAAATCAACAGGAATATCCAGATCTCCTGCAATAACTTCCATGGCAATGTCTGGATTGGAGGCACTGTCTATGCCAGGGTAAGTGAGGGGCAGCTCCCAGGTACAGGAAGTTCTCTCTGGCATCAGGACTCATTCCAGCAGCCGAGTGACTTTCCTGTTGGAGGCAGTGGGGGAGCTGGCTGGTGCTGGCTAGAGAGAACTGGTGATTGTGCACATCTCTTCCCAACTCCATGTTCAGTGACTTCATGTTTGTAGCATGAGATCTGCCATGGCAGGTGTATTTCGACCATGGAAAATGGCTGTTGTTACAAATCAGGGTTCCTCCCTCGCTCTGCTTTCTCATCTTCCCCCTGAGCTGGCTAATAAACAGATACCAGCTCAGCACTGGAGTCAGAGATCCTTTCCTTCCCCAGCTTGGTCACTGACAACCTGAATGGCTTCCTCATGCCTAAAATGGGGTCCTCCTCTCAGAGTGGTTCTGGGATAGTGGGTGAATAAGTGCTATTATATTTGCTACTCAAGTGTGGTCCATGGACCAAGCAGTACTGCATTGCCTGATCGCTTGTTAGGAATGCACAGTCTTGGGCCTCATCTGAGATCTTGAATCAGCAACTTTGTTTTATTTATTTTTATTTTTTTAAAAAATATATTTTCTTGATTTTTTACAGGCAGGAAAGGAGAGCCATAGATAGCCAGAGACATCAATGAGAGAGAAACATCGATCACCTGCCTCTTGCCCACCTTCTACTGGGGATGTAAACGCAACCAAGGTACATGCCCGGGACTGGAATTGAACCTGTTACCCTTCAGTCTGCAGGCTGACGCTCTGTCCACTTAGCCAAACCGGCTAGGGCAGCATCTCCATTTTAAAAAGATCCACAAGAGACTTGTATTCACAGGAAGTTTGAGAAGCCTGGCTGTGTGATGCGGGGAGGGACCACTGCTCTTCCATTGTCATTGCCTGCAAACCCTCAGGGGTGGGTGTCCAGGATATCTGGCTCCTAGCTGGGTGGGAAGTGCCCTAGAAAGGGACACTCAGTGGGAAATTTCTGGAACCTCTGGATCTGCCTGTCTTCCTGGACCTCAGCCTCTGACCCAGCCTATCCCCTCTCTTTTTCCAGTGTCTCCCGTTACACTGGATTGATGGGAGCATTGTCAATTATAGCCACTGGGCTCCTCGTCATGGGCACGGCCACTGTGTGACCCTATCCACCAGAGGTGAGGGGGACTGGGCCCCAGGGCAAAGGGAAGGGATGGCAACGTGAACTCTTAGATACTGTCCCTTTGAGCTGCCTGAGCACACCTCCTCAAACTCACAGCCTCCCCACAACTGGAGAACCAACGTCCTGCCTGTGAGGAGGGTTGTGATGTAGGGTGAGGGGGTGCCCTATGTGAGGGCTGGATGGGGGCTCTCCAGCCTCACAGATGAAGTTCAGCAGGGGGTTTGGGGTCTGCTTTCCTTCCTCTACTACTGATGTGACAATTGAGAGTGGTGAATGAAAGGTGTGGACGAGGAACGAGGGAGAGATGTATGAATGAGGAATGGCTGAATGCCAGACGTGAGAGACTGAGGACTATGGCTAAGGCCATACACGCTGCAGAAAGGCTGCCACAGTTCTCATCCCAGACCTGCCACCTGCCCACTGCCATACAGACAAGTGGTTTCCCCGCTGAGGCTCAGGTTCCTCATCTGTGCAATGGGGATGAGGACAGCACCTCCCTCTGGGAGTCATTGTGAGGATTAGCCAGGAGCCCCCAGGGAAGCACTCAGCACCCTGTCTTCCTGGGGTGAAAACTCAACAAACACAAGCAGCTGGGGTTGTGTGGCAAACATATCATGGCGATTGGAAGGCAAGGGGGGCACGGGCCACACTCTGCCAACTGTTTGCATCACTGTGTTCTCTATTGCCAGGTGGTTATTGGCGACAATCATGTTGTGAAAGACTTCTGCCCTTCGTCTGCTCCTCCTAAGCCAGTGGCAAGGAAAAGATCCTGTCTGGAGACCCTCCCTATACCCCTCCTGGCAGCCCCTGGCCCTCCCTGGACACTGGGCTGGACTCCCTGCCTCTCCTGGTCATAAAGCCATGCTTCCCACTGCATTTCCTGACTCTTGTTTCTTCATTGGTAATTGGAGGACTCCCCGGGGCTGGAAATTCTGAAAGCCCTCACTCCTGTGGGTGTCAGGGCAGGGCCTTTGAGGAAAGTAAACGATGCCAGTGTCCCAAGGGAGGGTTGGAATGGGGGTGGGGCATTGAGGGGTTTTGCTTCAGCGCCATCTAGGAGCTGAGCCAGGGCTGGGTGGATCCCCCAAGACCCTTCTCAGTCAGGCTGGGGGATTCCACACAACCACCCTCTGTGAGAAGTTCTCATTGGGTGGGGGATAGGGGGTGGGAACTGGCCCTCCTGCTTTGTTTGGATTCGTTATAGGGTGAGGGGTGGGGTGGCTTTCTAAATGAGGGTGATATTACTGATTCAAGAAATGGAGGACTGTTAAAAATTTAACTGAGTACATTATAAGATTAAATTGGCTTTATTCATTGATCCATGAATCACACAGCATTCCATTCAGCAAACAGAGAGAAGCTATGAAAAGCTGTAATAATGGAAGGTGTTTATAGGCAGAAAGAAGGGAGCAGAAGAAAGGTTCCAGCAAAGAATGCATTGCTTCAAGGATGGTCACCGTTTTTTGGAAGGGGTCTATCAAGAGGATTACCAGCCCTAGCTGGTTTGGCTCAGTGGATAGAGTGCTGGCCTGAGGACTGAAGTGTCCTGGGTTCCATTCTGGTCAAGGGCAAGTACATAGGTTGCAGGCTCCTCCTGAGCCCCAGTGCCCAGAACACGTGCAGGAGGCAACCAATCGATGTGTTTCTCTCACATCAATATTTCTCTCTTTCTTTCCATCTCCCTTCAACTCTTTAAAACAAGTTGGAAAATTATACTCAGGTGAGGATTAAAAATAAAAAAAGCAAAAGTAATGAAATAAGAGGACTGGCCTTACATCCCAAAGTATGGGCTTCCCCATCCCTACAAGCTACTAGCTAAGCCCTGTGAAGCTAAGCTCTGTCTTTGCAGTGAAACCCCTGGAGTTCTGGCCAATGCGCCAGCACAGAACAGGAGTGCAATCCAGACAGAGCTTATCTGAGGACACAGGTCCCAGATACAGTGCTGGCTACTTGACAGCCCCAGGTTCAAACCCTGTCTTAGAGTGTTATTGGAGCTGATCTCAATAGAGGCAGGTTCTGTCATAGCCTCAGCTCCCAGGTGAGAAAACTGAGACTCTGGGACTTACCATTCATTTGCATCACACTGCACTAAGACCCACCCTCTGCCTGATGTGGGACTGGACTGACCCTTGAGACAAGAGGCAGAGTTTGAAACCCCTTCAACATAAATGCGAACAAAAGCCAGATAGTCGGAGTTTCATGGATGCTGAAAGCATTGGCAGCATTGGATGGACTGTCGGGGGTAATGCAGACTGTCTGGGGGTATCAAAGAAGCAAGGACCTAGGAGTCAGACGTGCCACTCCTTCCTAGTTGTATGAACTTGGGCAGGTCATCGAACCTCTCTGAGCTTCTGTAGTAGGTGTGTAGACTAGTGACGGCAATACCTATTTTGTAGGATGATTGTAAAGATTAAGTGGGGTAATGGATGCCAGAGCCTTCATGTAGCAAAGTGTTTGGTCTGTGGTGGGCTTTCAAAAATGTTATTTCCAGTTTTAAATCAGACATTACTGTGGTCACTGAAGCCATTGGAATGTCTTTGCCTGGGGTGTGAGTGCAAAGAAGATGGAGTGGGGGAGGTGCAGGCTGTAGAGAAGGGAGGTGAGTGAGAGGAGGCAGAGGGGGGGACAAGGAGCTGGAAGACCTTCCCTAGGCCTGTTTCTAACTTGTTGTGTTATCTTGGTCAACTTGCTCAAGCTCTCTGATGTGCCATTTCCACATCTGTAACATAGGGCTGTTTAAGGGAAAGTGTGTGTAAAGCCTATCGTGAGGCTGGCTCTTGAGAGCAGCTGAGCATTCCTACCAGGGAGTGATAAGATGCCCTGGTCTGGACCCCAGAGGGAGAATGCTGGGGAGGTGTCTAGATCTTCCCTCCCCCCACTAGGGTGGACTCAAGCTGTAAATCCAACACCAAGTTTTTGAAACCCAGAATTGGCCAAGCCCCCCACTACCATCACCCCATGTCGTTAAGCTGAGGATCTGGTCAGTTGGGTCCGAGAGATAAGAGCCAAGACCGTTACCCTGCAATCAGGCCCAGAAGTGACCTCTCAGATACTTCTCCATTTGTAGGTTCCCTGGAACACCGGAGGCAGTGAAGGCTTTTTCACCCTTTGGGCTACGTGTGTCTGTTACCCTGAGCCCTGGAGGGCTGGGCTGGGGTCTGAGAAGAAATATGACTGCCCAGCGGGAATGTCACAGAGTGAGTCACCCACCTGCCATGGCCACTAGCTCCCGGCAGCGATATCCAGCAACGCCAGAGCACGGCATTTGTTGGCCTCTCTTTGGATGGCAGTGAATGTGGCTGGAGCTGGGTTGATTAAAGTTTTGATATTTTAATCATCACAGATGTTTTTGCATTTATTTCTATTTTCAAGAAAGATTGCATGAAAGCTATTCATTTATCTTGACTACTGAATTCTTTAGTGCCTCCTTAAGTTTTGTACCTGAGAGGAGTGCCTCACTCACTACCTCCTAGTCCTGACCCTAGTGGTGACAGAGGGCTGGTGGGAGATGAGGATGGGGGTGGGGAGGGTGGCCCCCAGTGTGTCTGAAAGATTCTGCACTAAGCTTTCCATTGCAGCTGTCACCTCTTTGCCTGAAGATATGCCTTGAGGTTGGACTAAATGGCATTTTCTAGACCAGTGATCGTCAATGGAGGCAACTTTGCTCCCCAGAGGAGCTTTGTAAATATGTGGAGATGTTTTTGATAGTCTTTGGGGACAATCAGATTGATGGGGGGAGGTACTCTTGATATCTACTGAGTAGAGACCAGGGATGCTGCTAAACTTCTACAGTCCCCACCAGCCCCCCGCCAACACAAAAGAAAGAATTACTTTACTCCAACTAGTAACAGTACAAATATTGAGAACCTTGATCTAGATCTATAGCATAGAAGAAAGAGCATAAGGTTTTCACACATTAAAGATGACAAAAGAGGAAGAGGGAGAACTACAGTGAGAAGGAGAAAAAGAGGGAGGGAGGGAAAATGGAGTGAGAGAGGAAGATAGATAGATAGATAGATAGATAGATAGATAGATAGATAGATAGAAGATAGAGAGAAAGTTTGGGAGCCAAAAGAACCAGGAATCCCAGATCCCCCTCTTCCTGTGCACACCTGCAAGGGACTTTCTCTCTCTGAATCACAGTTTTCACACCTGTGAAGTTAGAGTCATCATACATTCTCATGGGGATGAGGACAAGGTGAGGATTCTGGGATGGGAAGCATGTGAAGTCCCCGGTCTAGACAAGCACTCAGGAGGTGGGCACCTCCTTTCTCCTCTCCTCGTGGTCCTCCACTTCATTGGCTGGGATAGTGACCAGAAGAAGGCTGTTCCCGGGGTTATGACTGGGGCACTTTAGGGTGCTAACAGTAAGTATATGTGGACAGTAGACATCTGGGGTCTTCTCCAGCACACCTGGGTGTTTGGACACCCATGTGTGTCAGTGGACCCCAGGAGGCAGGTCCCTGCAGTCCCAGCAGGGAGCAGATGAGCTAATTGAGCAAATGCCTTATTATCAGCTCCCCTGCCCAGCACCCCGGCCTGGGCAATCATCCAGGCCTCAAAAGCCCAATATAAGGACTTCCCCAAAAGCCCAATATAAGGACTGCCTCTGGTACCCAGCAGTCAGAGACACCAAGAGTGGAGGTCTCCGACACTTGAAGGTGAGTGCTCCCCCAGCTGCCCAGTGGAAGAGGGGTCCAAGGGTTGGCAGGAGCAGAAGCTTATATGGCAAAGACCTAGGAGGCCTGTCCTTAGGACTCTGATGGCCACTGTCTTTCCAGTCCGTCCTCAGTGTAGTGAAATGAGCCCTGACCCTGAGCAGACCAGCTCCTGCAGGGGCAGGGTCTGGGCTAAGTGCTGTTCCAGGGGCCAGTGATAAAGCGCTTGGGTAAAAGGGACTTTTCTTGATTCTCCAGGTCAGTGTCTTTTCACTGGAGGAGAAGGAAGCTCTCTAGTGTGCCTTTAATCATCTACTTAAACAAACATTGCATCTCTGTTGTGTGACAGGGGCTTGCAGACACACAGGACAGCCCCAAGTCATAAAGTGAAGCTGTGTCCCTGCTACAAGAACAGTGACTATGAAACTCCCCCTGCTCCTGCTGCTCCTCCTGCTGGGGACAGTTGCTGCTTTTCATCTGGGTAAGTCCTCCCTTCCCTTCTCATCCAGCTTGACCCCTTCTCCTCTTTCTGGCACCTCTTGGGCTCTCTCTGGGCCAGGGCCACAGCTTTTCCTTCTTCCGTGGGCCCAGCTCCCCTCAGGTAAGATCTCTCTTGGACTCAAAAATGTGACCTGAATATTTTGTCCCGGCTCCTCCTCAAGCAAAACCCACCCACCATTTTTAAAAAAATACATTTTATTGATTTTTTACAGAGAGGAAGGGAGAGGGATAGAGAGTTAGAAACATCGATGAGAGAAACACTGAGCAGTTGCCTCCTGCACACTCCCCACTAGGAATGTGCCCGAAACCAAGGTACATGCTCTTGACCAGAATCGAACCTGGGACCCTTGAGTCCACAGGCCAACCCTCTATCCATTGAGCCAAACCAGTTAGGACAACCCACCCACCTTTTCAGAGCAGCTTCTTCCTACCCCTAAAATACACACCTGTCAGCCAGCGCCAAGTGCTCACCCCTTTGTGTGAGTTCTCACCTCACCCCACAGGGAGGAGATCCTTCTGGCCTAGGCTCCAGAAGGAGGCACTAGGAAGTCTTGAGTTGGGTGGTCGGCGCTGTCCGTGGTCTTGGAAGAAGGAGCTCCTTACCTAATGGCAGGCTACCTCTTCGTCCAGGGAATGATGCCCCCTATCTGGACAGCCAAGAGTCACAGGCAGACCTGAGCCAGGATCTGGAAGGCTCAGGGGAGCAGGAGGGAGAGTTGGTCCTGACAGAGGAGGCCATTCAGTCCCAAGGAGAGCAGGTGGAGGCTTCCAGCTGCCAAGATGCCTTTGAGGACGAGAAGGCCATGGAATCGGACCCAGGTGCCCTAGATGAGAACTTTCAGTGCCCCAGGGAAGAGGACACAGTGACAATTCTGGTCAGTGCTGGGAACAAGAATGGACGCTACCGGTTGGTGAAGACTCGCAAAACATTTGCAGACGCTCGGGTAAGTGGCATGGGGCTACTGTGGAAGGAGGACCAGGGGCAGGAGCAGAGAGTGGGTTCCCTCTCCTGTTCACTATTCATTTACACTAGTGGTTGTCAAAGGCTAGTGAGCAGCAGACTCTGCTAGACGTCTTGTTGAAGAATAGATTTCAGGGTTAGCAAGTCTGGGGTGGGGCCCAAGAGTTTGCATTTAGGACCACGTGCCAGATGATGATGATATCGTAGGTCTGGAGACAGTACTTTGAGAATCACTGATTGGGACAAAGGCTTTGGTATTAGATATACCTGTGTTAAACCCTGGCTCCACCTGTGATTGTCATGTTACCTGGGCAATTCCCTTCATCCCTCAGAGCTTCAGGATCTTCACTTGTACAATGGAGATATATGGTACCAGCCTCTTATGTTGTGGTGAGGTTTAAATGAGGTAATACATGGAAAGCATTTGCATCAGTCCTTGAGTCATTGTAAACTGCCAGTAAATGGTGGCTAAGATTATTCTCAGGATTATTATTATTTCCTGCAAGAAGTTCCCGTTGACAGATAAAGGGGCAAGAGATGGAATTGAAGGAGCAAGTAGATCCCTGATTTCTGACCTGACCAGCGATGGAGAACTCTCTCCTGGAGACTCAGGAACATGAGGAGAAAAAAACCCAGGGAATTTTCTCCTCCACCTCTTTTTTCTGCAGAACACCTGCAGGAATTGCTACCGTGGCACCCTGGCCTCTATCCACAACAAGCAAATCAACAGGAATATCCAGATCTCCTGCAATAACTTCTATGGCAATGTCTGGATTGGAGGCACTGTCTATGCCAGGGTAAGTGAGGGGCAGCTCCCAGGTACAGGAAGTTCTCTCTGGCATCAGGACTCATTCCAGCAGCCGAGTGACCTTCCTGTGGGAGGCAGTGGGGGAGCTGGCTGGTGCTGGCTAAAGATAACTGATGATTGTGCACATCTCTTCTCCACTCCATGTTTAGTGACTTCATGCTTGTGGCATGAAATCTGCCATGGCAGGTGTATTTCGACCATTGAAAATGGCTGTTGTTACAAATCAGGGTTCCTCCCTCACTCTGCCTTCTCACCTTCTCCCAGAGCTGGTTGGTAAACAGTTACCAGCTCACCACTGGAGTCAGAGATCCATTCCATCCCCAGCTTGGTCATTTACAAGTGGAATGGCTTCCTCATGTCTAAAATGGGGTCCTTCTCTCAGAGTGGTTCTGGGATAGTGGGTGAATAAGTGCTATTATATTTGCTACTCAAGTGTGGTCCATGGACCAAGCAATATTAGCATTGTCTGATGGCTTGTTAGAGATGCACAGTCTTGGGCCTCATCTGAGACTCTTGAATCAGCATCTCCACTTTACAAAGGTCTGCAGGAGACTTGTATTCACAGAAAGTTTGAGAAGCCTGGCTGTGTGAGGCGGGGAGGGACCACTACTCATCCATTGTCATTGCCTGCAAACCCTCAGGGGTGGGTGTCCAGGATATCTAGCTCCTAGCTGGGTGGGCAGTGCCCAGAAAGGGACACTCAGTGGGCATTTTCTGGAACCTCTGTATCAGCCTGTCTTCCTGGACCTCAGCCTCTGACCCAGCCTATCCCCTCTCTCATTCTAGTGCAGAAGATTACACTGGATTGATGGGAGTGCTGTGAATTTTACATACTGGGCTAATCAGCGTGGGCGCGGCCGCTGTGTGGCCCTATGCACCAGAGGTGAGGAGGCTGGGCCCCAGGGCAAAGGGAAGGGAAGGCAAGGTGGACTCTTACACACTGTCCCTTTGAGCTGCCTGAGCAACACCTCCTCAAACTCACAGCCTCCCCACAACTGGAGAACCAACGTCCTGTCTGTGAGGAGGGTTGTGATGTAGAGTGATGGGGTGCCCTGTGTGAGGGCTGGATGGGGGCTCTCCATCCTCACAGACGAAGCTTGGCTGGGGGTCTGAGGGCTGCTTTCCTTCCTCTGCTACTGATGTGACAATTGAGAGTAGCCGAGGTGAATGAAAGGTGTGGACAGGGGATGAGGGAGAGATGCGTGAATGAGGAATGGCTGAATGCCAGACGTGAGGGACTCAGGACTATGGCTAAGGCCATACACGCTGCAGAAAGGCTGCCACAGTTCGCATCCCAGCCTTGCCACCTGCCCACTGCCATACAGACAAGTGGTTTCCCGGCTGAGGCTCAGGTTCCTCATCTGTGCAATGGGGATGAGGACAGCACCTCCCTCTGGGAGTCCTTGTGAGGATTAGCCAGGAGCCCCCAGGAAGCACTCAGCACCCTGTCTTCCTGGGGTGAAAACTCAACAAACACAAGCAGGTGGGATGTGTGTGTGTGGCAAACATATCATGACAATTGGAGGGCAAGGAGGGCACGGGCCACACTCTACTGGCAGCTGACACCACCGTGTTTTCTATTTCTAGGGGGTCATTGGCGACGAAAACGTTGTGGAAGACGTCTGCCCTTCATCTGCTCCTACTAAGCCAGAAGCCGGGAAGAGATCCTGCCTGGAGCCCCCTCCCTACACCCCTGCTGGCGGCCCCTGGCCCACCCTGGGCGGTGGGCTGGACTCCCTGCCTCTCCTGGTCATAAAGCCATGTTTCCCACTGCATTTCCTGACTCTTGTTTCTTCACTGCTCATTGGAGGACTCCCCGGGGCTGGAAATCCTGGAAGCCCTCACTCCTGCAGGGTGGGGCTTTGAGGAAAGTAAAAGATGGCCAGGGGCCCACGGGTATTGGTGGAATGGGAGGGGGGCGCTGAGGGGTTTGGCTGCAGCGCCATCTAGGGGCAGATCAAGGGCTGGGTGGCTCTCCCAATACCTTTCTCAGCCTAGGCTGGAGGATCCCCCCCCCCCCCCCCCCCCCCCCCCCCGGGAAAGTTCTCATTGGGAGGGGGCTGGTGGGGAACCGGCCCTCCTGCATTGTTTTGATTCAGCATGGAGTGCGGGTGGGGTGGGAGTGGGGCGGCTTTCCAAATGAGGGTGATATCACTGATTCAAGAAGTGGAGGACTGAGTACATTTAAACATGAAGTTGGCTTTATTCATTCATTCATGGATCAGGCAGCATCCCATCCAACAAATAGAAAGAAGCTCTGAAAAGCTGTAATAATAGAAGGTGTTTATAGGCAGAAGGAAGCATAAGGAAGGTTCTAGCAAAGAATGCATTGCTCCAGGGGAGGTCACCTTTCTTTGCAAGGGGTCTATCAGGAGGATTCCCAGCCCAAGCTGGTTTGGTCAGTGGATAGAACGTCAGCCCTAAGCCAAGGGCATGTACTACAGTTGCAGGCTCCATCCCCGCCCCCCCACCCCTCACTTCTGTTGGAGAGTGTGTGTGTGGGAGGCAACCAACACATCACCGCTCTCACATTGATGTTTCTCTCTCTCTGTCTCTCTCCCTCCCTCCACACACACTCTCTCCCTTTCTCTATAAAACAAAACAAAAAACAACAATTATGGAAAAATACCCTCAGGTGAGGATTTAAAAAAAAAGAATTACCTCACTCATGCTGACCAGGTAATTTCAGATTGACTGGTTAAGGGCGACATTCCTTGGAGAGGCTGAGACTGCACTAGGTTAGGTATTAAGTCTTGGTTTGGGTGGGCTTAGCACAGAGACTCCATTTGGGGCTTGCTGTTTAACAGTTGTTAGATCCCACCTGCTGTAACCACATGAGAGGGAGGGGAGAGTAGCCTTGTCTAGCCCTGTGTCTCTTTGGCCTGATCCTGGCCCTTACTGTCCATTCTCCCAGCCGCACACGTGTGGGTGAGTCCAAAGGCCCCAACTTCTTCTGATATGGGTCCCCCATTCCCAGGAGGGTGGCTCCTACCCCAATCCTTCTCCCTCTCCCCCATCCCCACCCTATGTCCCTGGAGGTGCCACATTCGCAGGAGGGAGTACCTCCCACTAGGAGAGCCTTGGGGCCAACATCAGGGCACCTGATGGCAGTGTGGGTTCCATCCCAGTTCTCTAGCCCCAGGCCTCTGCTTCTTGCCCCCACTTTCTCAGACCCTGGAGACATTGAGAGGGAAGACTGTTGCTATCCTTTGTTCAGGTGAGGGGCTAGTGTCCAGGAAGTCCCTGGAGTGGATGAAGAGGGAAGCTGGACCTGAGACTCAGTTTTTAGAGGGCAGGGAGCCCTGGGTTGTAGTTCTACATGAGGCTCAGGGAGAATGTACAAGTATTTCTGTAGACATACATGTGCATGTGTGTATATGTATCTTGGTGTGCACACGAGTCATTTTCTATGTATGTATACCTGTGCATATGGAAATCTTTATTGGTAAATGTGCACAATCTTTGTGTCAATGGGCATGTATGTGTTGTTTGAGATGTGTATATTTTATACATCTCTGGGTATGTATGGATAGGCCTATATGTCTGTGTACATCTGTGAATGTGTATGTCTGTGTAGCTTTGCATCCGTACATACTTGAATCTCTGTGTTCATGCATCCGTGTGTACCTGTGTGTCTTTGGCCAGTATGTTTGGGAGTGTTTACAGGCCAGTGTGTGTCTGAGTACACCTGTGTACAGGTCTATGTTTGTGTGTGTACATGTGTCTGTATCTATCTACAGGCATCTGAGGGGATGTGGAGTTTCAGGAACAAAAACAACAAAAAGGAACAAAGGACCAGGTTTGCTTTCTTTCTTTTTTTTCTTCTTCTTTTTTTTCAGATGCAAAAGCAGAGAGTCTTTATTCAAACTAGTTTGCCCCCCCCCCCCCCACCCCGACTTTCTTTCTAAAGGTGCTGGAGATGATGGAACAGGATCGGACGGGATCAGAGCACCCCCGGGTGAGCGGGTGGTGAAGAAGCAGCAGGGACAAGCCCCTTGAACATGAGCAGGCCTCTGGCAACAGGATAATGGGCCTTGGCATTGCCATGAGCCTTGCCAGTGCTGGGCCCCAAGGGCTGCCTCCAGATGGAGACCTGTTCTCTGTAGAGGGGTTTGTCCATCTGCCTTGGATGTAGGTTGGGTCAGGAAGCTCCTAATCACAGCATGTTGGTTCCCCAACAGCATGGAAGGGGAGCTGCCTTGGGGGGTCAGCGCCCTCTCCCCCAGGGCCCTGCATTGTGTACTGCTACAAGCTAATCCTTGATGCTCTGCTTCTAAAAGAACAGTTGAACCTTGCTGTAGGGGGTGGGGGGTGGGAAGATAAGCAGTAAGGGAAGCTCTGCATAGGTAGCTCTGGGACTGAAATTTCAGCTGAATAGTGAACCCCATTTTCTCAGCCTCTACTTTTCTCCTTGATGGGAAATTGGCTCTAGCCAACCCCAGTAGCTCAGTATCCTGCCAGTCAAGGCTAGAGGTAGAGGGAAGGAGGGGAAAGGGTGTTGGTGGTGGCTCAGAGCCCTGCAGTCTGAAGCTTGCTCCAGGCAAGCCAGTGTAGATAAGATATTCCCCAAATATCTAATACTAGAGGCCCAGTGCATGAAATTCGTGCATGGAGGGAGGATCACCTCAGCCTGGCCTGCACCTTCTCCAATCCGGGACCCCTTGGGAGATGTCCGACTGCCTTTCGCAATCCAGGATCACTGGCTCCTCACTGCTTCCCTGCCTGACTGATCACCCCTAACCACCTCTGCCTGCCTGATTGCCCCTAACCACCTCTGCCTGCCTGATCACCCCTAACTGCTCCCCTGCTGGCCTGATCGTCCCTAACCGCCTCTGCCTCGCCCTGCACCCGGGACCCAGGATTCCCTCCCTCTGGCCAGCTGCAGGCACCCAGGACTTGGGCCAGCTTTGCCCAGGCTGGCCACAGCTGCAGGGACTGCGGGGCGGGTGGCTTGTCCCTCTCCCGGGCCGCAGCCTGGCTGGTCCCCATTCCTCTCTCCCCAGTGTTGAGTGTCTGAGCAGTTCCTGCATGAGGGTGCGAGGGCGTGAGGGTGTGATGACCATTTGCATTAGCTCTTTATTATATAGGATTGTTTGTTATTGGGCCTCAACTTCAACCATTATATATTCATTCCTTTGGCTGTTTAAGGCCTTTCAGTGTTGAATAGCTCTTGATTAAAAAGCAAATACTCGTAGGAGAAGAAACTCCTGAGTATGTTATTTATTAATACCACTGGGAGATTGACTGGTAATTTGCTGAGAACAAGGTTTTGTGAGAAGCAGCACAGAAGGGAAGGACACATGGAACTGTCAGTGGGCATGGGGGTGGGGGAGAGGCTAGTTGTGGAGAAGAAGAGCCATTGAGAAGGAGATGATGAAGCAGAGAGTGCTGCGCTCACTATTTTCTCTTCATGGGGACCCAGGAAGACGATATCCTGGGATTCCTTGTAGTATTGTTGGGCTCCTCACCATGCGACTGAGTCTGGCCAGTGCCATGTGGTTGGAAGTGATGCAAGCAACTTCCAGGACTGGCCTTTAATGACCCCTACAACCCACCCATTCTCACTTTGCTTGCTATGTGCCTCTGATGGTATACTCCTCGATGGAGGGGGCTGCCTGGTTGACTTCGTCATGTTAAACCTTGAGATTTTGCAGTTGATTTGTTACTGTGGCAAAACTTGGTTTGGCCTAACTGAAACTTAGGGGAAAGAAGGTGTCGACAAATTTCCTAACTTTTCCCCAGGCAGATGTCGCACAGAAGCCAAGATCCCAGGCTCTGGAGTCCTGAAGTCCCACTTGCCCCATTCCAGTTTCTTAACCTTACTAAGCCTTCGTTTCTTCTTCTGTAAAATGAGGGTTGAATTAGACAAACCCTCTAACGTATGTAGCCCATTGCTTGGCCATGGCAAGTTCTCACTAAATGTTAGCTTTTATGCTGAGTAATTAAAGAAGCAGTGTAAAGTTAGGAATGAGCATGGGTCCCAGTTCCAATTTCCATATATTGTTTCTTTTTCTATATCACAGGATCAATAACTGAACACAGCAGCCTCACCAGGGTTGGTGTGTGATTATGTTGGTGATTGTGCTGAGGACACCATGAGGCAGCAGAGAGGAGTTTGCTGTTGTTGTTACTGCTGATACACCCCTAAGTCCAGCACACAGAGCAGTCACTTAGCTCAGCTGTGGGGAGGACAAGGTCAGGCTCACACTCCTGAGTTTACACATTTGCTGGCAGGCTCAGGACCACCCAGCCTGGAGGAAAGGGAGGGGTTGGGAGAAAGGGTTCCCCCAGATATAGCTGCCTAGACCTCCTCCTCAGAGAACATTCCTGTGACCCCAGCCTCCTGAGAACTGGGTGCACGGGGGTGGGAAGGCAGGGTGCCTGTGGGCCTCTGGGTGGAGAACATGGTGCTGCCTTCCACTGAGGTCTGCTGGCCAGATCTCCAGACACTGCCGATTCCCAAGGCTGCCCCTGGGGAGGTGTCATCCCACCTTCCTGAGGATGGGGCTGGGATGAGGCAGAGTGGGGGGAGGGGGAAGGGACCTCATGTGGGGGAATCTTACCCCTTCGCCCCCTGGGGTGGGGGGTCACCAGGGTGGGGCCTTTGCAAGTGCCCATGGCTTGATCCTCCCAAACTACTCCCAAAGATGCCTCTTCCGCACATCTCCCCTGTCCCCTGCACCACTGAGGAGGGGCTGGCCCTCCATCTGCAGTTCAGCTCCTTTCTGCTCAGCCCTCAAGGTCATGCCCACACTCCAGCTCCTCCAGAGGTGGTCCGCCTGGAAGTTGGTGGAACATACTTCAGGGCTGCTCACTTGCACGAGCCCCTTCTAATACCCAGTTTTGTATTTTTTTTTAAAAGATGCCCCAAGATGTATATGCTTCAGGCTTCATAAAACCGAGATCTGCCCCTGAGCTCTGCCTGTGAGGGGAAGTGGAGGCAGGGTGCACCTGGCGCCCTCTCACAGCCCTGCCAGCGCCCTGTTCTTCCTCCTTCCCAAGTGCCAGGGCACTAACCACCAGACAGTCAGGCCACGAGACAGTCATTTTCCGTCTCCCGCCTCAGTTCGCTGTCGGTAAATAGGAGAGTCAGATGAGATGGTTTCTAAGACCCTTTAGTTTCTGGCATTAGGAGACTGACCACCTTATCAGGACCCTGTGGGGACAGACCTGGCTGACCAGCTGCTCGCAGGGCACTGGGGCTCACTGGGGTCTTTTCACCAGCATTTTCAAGGAGGACGGCTGACCTCCTGGAGCAGGGCCTCAGGTCCGGGAATCCCCTCCCACCGGGGTGGCCAAATCCGGTTCCTGCAGTGAGGGGTCCAGATGTGTGTGGGTACATCTAGGGTCCCGGAGAGAGAACAAGAATGGCTCTGGTGTGGGGACAGAGCTGTGGGGTGAGGTAAGGAAAATTCACCGACAGTCACGCCTCCTGTTTCCTTCTCATTTGGGGACCCACCTGACTCAGAGAAAGAGAACTCACACCAGTCTCATTGGTCTCCCCTCAAATGGGGCCCAAGTTCCCGGGGCCAGCCTGGGGCTTACTCTTTATTAAGCTGAACCTAACCTTGGTCAGGGTGGAGGAGGCTGGAGCAGCAGGGCACACCCGTGGGAGTTGCCCTTCCTCTTGTGAGGTGTGGGCAATGGAGACCTGGGTTCAAATCCCAGCTCTCTCACTGCCTGGCTGTGTAATCTTGGGCAAAGGATTCAGTCTCTCTGAGCCTCAGTTTATCTTCAAAACGGGGAACCTAATAGCTACGTCATGGGATTATTCTAAGGATTAAATGAGCTAGTGTGTGTGAAGTGCCGGGCACTTGGCAGGCACTCACTATTACTATTATTCTCTCTATTCTTTGGAAAGGGGAAGACTCAGGTGCTGCTGCCCCAGGGGTCCTGGCAAGCAGACAGGGGCCAGGCAAGGGGTGAAGGTGAGAGTGAAGTCTCAGTAGGGGGCACTGGGAGACCCAGTCGCCTTCCAGCTGTGGCCTCATGGGGTGAGCAGCAGAAAGGAGAGCCCTCCCTCTCCCATCCTCCTTGCCCGGTGGGGTCCTCTGTTGGGAGGCCTGGAGCCCAGCAGTGAGTGTGGGGCCCTGGGTGGAGGCCCTAGTGGCCGATGGAGAAGGCCCCTGAATCAGTGGACTGCTTCTCCTCCGGGGTCTGGTCGCTGGGGAACACTGGGTTGGCCGAGGCAGCGACCTTCAGTGTCGTCTCATTCACCTGCAGGCAGAAGGCTGGCATGAGGGTGCTCTGACTATGGGCAAGGACCCCATGGGACAGACTCAGCAGTCGGGGCGCGCAGCCTGGTCTTTGGGGAGCTACAGCGTGCCTGTGTGATCCCAGGACTCCATCCATGCATCTCAAGGGCAGACAGAACCCAGAGCCAGCCCATAGCAGGATTTCCCTGCCCCAGAAATGGAGAGGGGACGATGAGTGGCTGGGACAGCAACAGCGACCACCCACAGAGCCCCCGTGGTTCTCACAGAGCCCACTCTTGGCCAAACCCCTCAGGTCTGGACCCCCAGTATGCACCGAGGCCCAATGAACTTCCCTTCAGAAGCCCCTGGAAGGTGAGCCGCTGAGAGTCCCTGGAGCCCAGTGGCCCTCCCTGTCCTGTCTCGCTGCCTCTCCTGGACCCCACTCACCTCCTCAAACTTCTTGGCTTTGTATTGGTCGGCCCCCTTGAGGAAGTTGAGCAGGATGATGTCACAGAGGACAGTCCCCTGGGGGAGGAAAAAGAGGGCAGGCCCTGAACTGCCAGCCCGGGCAGCACTGGCCTGGGAGCGGGGCTGTGTCTGAGTCTCCGCCCCCACCTTCATGGGGAGGCCCAGGAACTTGTACCAGGCCAGCCTCCTGCAGATGGGAGGCTGCTGAGGAGGCAGTGAGCTCCCCATGACTACAGGTGACAAAGCAGGGCCTAGCTGAGCAGGGAGGTGGTGCAGGAGACGGAAGCACCTGGCAAGAGGCTGGGCTTTTCAGTCTAGGCTGAAGCAGGGCTTACCTGGGTTCAGTTCCCTGTCCACACCTGCCAGCAGGGGCCTCACCCTGACTGGCCACCAGTCAGAGCCTAGCAGGGCTGAACTCACCACTCCCACGGAGGTGAAGGCTGCCACGGAGCTGATGATGGTGGGGATGATGTTGAACTTGCCTGCCTGTGTGCACAAAGACCAAGGCGAGTGGGCGGAGTCCAGCAGGGCAGGGGTGAGGCCAGAGAGACCTTGGAGCAGCAGGCCCCACCCCTTCATGGTGCAGGTATGGAGACAGGAGGTGTGAGCAGTTGAGGGTCTCAGAGCTGGTCAGCAGCAGGACCCTGCCCCTCACCCCTGCCCAAGAGCCATCTCTGGGCCCAGGGTTGGTCTGAATTTCCTCCCCTGTCCACCCACCTGCCCAGCCCAAGGACTCACGTTCCCGTACACCAGCACATCGAAGCGGATGCCAAAAGCCTTTAGGAGCGTGCGGTACTCACTGCCATTCTCCAACTTGTAGTACTTGGCAAACCTGAAGGTCAGAGGCAAAGGAGGATCCCACTGTGGGCTCCTGCCTGAACCTACGGGGTCCTCGGGAGCCTACGACCGTCACTTCCTGCACAGCCCTTACAGATGGTTTGGTGGGACACCTGCCATGGTCCAACCTGTGTCTGAGTCTCCGCCCCCAGGTTAGCCAACCCCCTTCACAGGCAGCATCTTGGGGGGCTGGTTAAAAAGACAGCTTCTCAGGCCCCACCCTGAACCCAGGAATCAGCATCCCTGTAGGTGGGGCTCAGGACTCTTTCTTTTATTTTTATTTTTTAAAATATATTTTATTGATTTTTTACAGAGAGGAAGAGAGAGGGATAGAGAGTTAGAAACATCGATGAGAGAGAAACATCCATCAGTTGCCTCCTGCACACCCGCTACTGGGGATGTGCCCGCAACCAAGGTACATGCCCTTGACTGGACTCGAACCTGGGACCCTTCAGTCCACAGGCCGATGCTCTATCCACTGAGCCAAACCGGTTAGGGCAGGACTCTTCCTTTTAAATAACTTCCCTCAATAATTCTGACGTGTGCGAATGTTTGAGCCAGGACTCCATGCTTCCTCAGTTCTATCTGCTTGGGTGGCCCAGGGCCCGGCCTTCTCCCCTCTCTGCAGGTTTCTCAGCTGGACTGGGTTTGAAGCCAGGCTCTGCCACTTAACAACTTCCTAATCCTAAGACACAAAGGCTTGGAGGAGAGGGGCTGGACCATCTTCATGAACAGGATCAATTAGGGTCTGGGGGTGGTGGCAGAGAGCGTCACAGACCAACTACATGGTCTGAATTCAAGTTGCACCAGCAGGAGAAGGGGATGGACCCCAGAGAGGAAGTCGTTTCTAGAAAGATGAGGAGGTCCAAGAACATGATTCTCCAAGGAGGCCTCGCGGGAGATTTTAAGGAAGTTTGCAAAAACAGCATCAGGCCCGGATGGAAGACTGTGGGAAGCCCTCACTGGCTTTCAGGTTGGCCTGAGCCTAAGTATGGAGCATCACCACCTCCACACCCGCCATGGACAGAGCACCAAAAGGGTGCAAACCTATGAGTGAACCTCAATGTCAGGGAGCAGACTCCGGTGTCCCATTTTATAGATGAGGAGACTGGTGAGTGGCAACACTGACAGCTCCAAAGGCCCTGCTCTTTTATTTTTAATTTTTATTGATTTCAGAGAGGAAGGGAGAGAAAGAAAGAAACATCAATGATGAGAGCCTGCAACCTGGGCATGTACCCTGATGGGGAATCAAACCGTGACCTCCTGCTTCATAGGCCAACACGCAACCATTGAGCCACACTGGCTGGGCAAAGGCCCTGCTCTTAACCTGAACCGTCCTGCCTCTGACACCCAGGGGCGGCCTTGGTGCCAGACCTCAGAGTCCTTCTGCGCTCTGTGCCCTGCCTCCCTCCGCTGGAGAATCCAGGCCTGGACAAAGATCACATGTGGGGAAGAGTCCCCGCTGTCTGGGCTGTGGCAGCGGAAGCCCGTGGCCACTGGGCAGGGGTGGGAGGGCGAGTAGCTGAGGTCTGGGGCAGGGCAGAGGCTGGGACTGCATCTTGTCCCGAGGTCTGCATTCCTGGCCATACGCTGCAGCCATGAAAGATGTTCTGCCATCGCCTGAGAGCAGAAAGCCGGCATCCTGGGCACTGCCTCTCCAAGCGAGGGCTGGCTAAATTTATCTTGGGAAGGAATGTGGAGGGAACAGGGAGAAGAACCAAAGCGGACTTGGCTTTTCTCCAGCACCTGCCTTCCAAGAGGCAGTACGCATGATAAGATCATTATCTCATCCACCACCCATCCTCGGAGAAGGCTTGGCAGGGCCCGCTCTCTTCTGGGGCGGGAGGGAGAGGGAACCTCGAGCCAGGAAGGAGGGAGGGGACCAGCCACAGAGAGAAGGGCCCAGGAGTCCTGACTTCTGCACTCCAGAGCGGCCAGTGGGGGTCACAGAATGTGGCCCAACCATGGGGCAGAGACTGATCCCACAGGGCTGGGATACCTTCCCTCTTGGCATGCGGCTGGGCCACGTGTTCTAGCCCCTTGCATCTAGCTGGGGCCCCACCTCAGAGAGTTCTTGCCAAAGAATGTGAAGGGAGCTGCGGTATGTAACCTCTGGGCCCACAGGTGTCAGAGCGAACCCTCCTCATCCTCCCTTTCCTCATGGCTAATTGCTCAAGAGCCAGGGGAGAAGTCAGGGTGTAGGGACCACTGAGTCAACAGGTGGCAGGAGCCCAGACCCCTGAAGGCTCCTGAGCGCTCCGCCCCCACTGGTCCCTGGTGTACTGTGCCAGCAGCACATGCTAGCCACTGAGATGGGTTGTTTGTTACCGCGATGAGCAATATCTAACTGCTTGCAAACTCCTGTGATTTTATAGCCAGGAAGCCTGAGTTAGAGGATGAGTTAAAACTGGGGAGTCGTTCAAGATAGAGAGAATTCCAGTGATGCCACAGTCCTATGAGGCTAAGGAAGTCCTAGGAGGTCTGGGTGCGGCCCACGGTGTCTTGAACTAGCTTTTGACTCCACGCAAGTCACTCAACCTCCTGAGCTGTTTCTTTCAACTGAGAAGTGAGTGAGGAAGGCCAGACGAGACAGCGTCCAGATAGAGTAAGTAAAGCAAGATCTAGTAAGTGCTTAAAGCAGGTCCCAAGATCAAGATAAAGTGGACTCGTAACATCTACAATTTCCTCAACTAGCACACCTCCTGCCTCCCGGCGATAATAGTATTAGCAACAATAACAGACAACGTATATATCGATTGGGTGCTTACTATGTGCCTGGCATTGTGCTATGTGCTTAATGCCAAGTAACTAACTCATTTAATACTCATAGCAACACCAAGGAACTTAGTGCCATTTTGATTCCCATTTATAGAGGAGTCACCAGGATCAGAGAGGTTAAGCAATTTGTCTAAGGTCACAACAGCAATAGTCAAGTGAGCGAAGCTGGGATTCGAACTCAGGAGGTCCTGTTCAACCGCCTAGACTCTTAGCCTGCATTTCAGATGGTTCTTTTTGAATCCCGATTTCTGTCCAGTCCTGGCTCATTTCTTTTCATTCTCTAGCTGAGGGCCCCCTTTTGCACCTGCAGGGTGGGGCTCTCCACCCAGAATCCCTGGCTGGGAGTAGAACAGGAAGGAAGGAGAGCCATGACGTGTCAGGAGGAGGACCCCCCCAACGCCTCATCTGAAAAGGCGAAAGGCTGAGCTACACCTTCCCGGGCCCAGATTTCTCCTAAATCCTCTGATTCCTATTCCTACCTCTCCAGCTTTGGTTTTCTTGGTTGAGAGATGGAGTCAGTGAGAAGGACACCACTGTTCCGCACCTTGGTTTGGAGTACAGGGCCCCTCCCAACCTGGCCCAGTCCACTTCCCTGGCCTCCTCTGCAGAACGCCCTGCCCTGCCCCTCCAGTGCCAGCCACATGACCTGCCTTCCTCTATCTCCTGCACCCACTTCCTAGACACAGACTTCTGGGCCTCTGCCTATGCTGTTCCCCTCCGCCCCTCTTCCCCCTTGCAAACTCCTATTCATCCGTCAGGGTCCTGCTCAGTGACTTCTGATTCTTTCAAGATTTAAACAAATACTTTGAGCACAGCCACTGTATGCCAGGCACTGTGCTAGGCCCTGCTGATACACCGGCCAAGCTCTGCTCTCACGAGAGGGAGAGAAATATTAATCGCACCATCCATGAGTAGCTCAAATTAGACTTCAGGGCTGGGAAGGAGAGGAGCACCTTTCTCAGAGCACAGTCCAGGCAGACATTTGACCTCGGCTGGTGGGCCAGGGAAGCCTTCATGTGAAATAACTCTAAAGCTGAGGCTTGAGGGTGGAGAGTTAAAGGTAAGAAACTCAGGCCCTCTCAGGGGAAGGCACAGTGAAAAGGGGAAGCAGGAAGTGCCCTGGTCTGGGAGGATGGAGATGCGTGGAAGAGGAAGTGTCTGGTGGTGTGTCTCTTCTCAGTTCCATGTGCAGTGATTTCACACTTGCAGCTTGGAACTGTCCACAGCGGAATATTTACACCACAGAAATCGGCAAACACACCACAGAGCAAAATGCTTTCTTCCTTTCTCCAGAGAGCCAGTTTCTGGTTTCTGGTTTCCCAGCACCGAGGCTGTGAAATGCCTCTGGGCTACCTTTCCTGTCCGGGAGAATCTGAGGATCCGGGCCTCTCCTACGTCCAGGCCACACCAGGCTGCAGGTGATAATTTGGACTTTTGACTGTGAGCCAGTTCCCACGGTCCCTCTTTGCCCAAGGGCCCAGTGCAGGGAATGCTTGCTGGAGGAATAAATGTTTTCAGAGATTCCAGACACCTCCCAGATGGCCTCTGGGTTTCCTCCCCCTGCCTCTGGCTGCCCCAGATTCTCCCTGCTCTTCAGGTGGAGCTAGTCTACAAGAGCGAACCACAGGCTGTTCTCTCCCAAATAGAAAACATCTGGATCCGGCAGCTGGCTGCATGGGAAAGTAGGTGCTACTGGTTCCTGCCATGGGGAACCAGCCTTGTGGAGAGGGACTGAGGAAAACGCAGGAACAGCTGTATGTGGAGCCCTTACTTCTGCTAAGCGGCTAGAGGCTTCCACACCCATCATTTCATTTGGGCCCCAACAACTCAGTGGGGGAGCTGGTGGCTTAGGGCTTTGAAATGAGGCAGCCTGGCCTTGGATCCAGGTTTTGCCACTGAACTCCTTTACATAACCTGGGGCAAATCACTTCACCTCTGCTTCTTGCTTTCCCCAAATGTGAAAGGGAGAAAGAAGATGGCACTAGCTGAAGGGTGGTTCAGTGTGGCTGGGGGAGGGCTGAGCTGGGGGGCACCGAGCTTTCAGTACATTATCTAGTGGTCAGCAGGCAACAGTCAGACTTTCCAGGCCTGAGAGAAGCACAGCAGGGATCAGAACTCGGGCCCCTGGAATCCTAAGCCCCTGCCCACCCCCTGCTGCTTCCTGCATTGCCTAATGACCTCCAGCAACAGGGAACTCACTACCTGTATGAGCAGCCC